CCATTTCGGCTTACCCACGCTCCACGACGGCCCAAGAGGCCCCCAAGATCGCCCCAGGACGGCCCAACAGGCCCCCAAGACGGCCCCAAGACGGCCCAAGAGGGCCCCCAGACCGCCCAAGAGGCACCCGGGACGGCCCAAAAGGGGCCCCAGGATGGCCCCAAGAGGAGGCCCAGAAGGGGAACCCGAATGAACATTTCGAGCTTTCGGCTCAAGAGGCCCCCAGGAGGCCCTAAGAGGCCCCCTGGAGGCCCCCAACAACCCCCAAGAGAGCCCCAAGAGGCCCCAAGAGGGCCCCAAGAGGTCTCCAAGAAGCCCCTGGGACGCCCCCAAGAGGCCCCTAAACTGCCCCGCAGAAGCCTCCGAGAGCCCTCTCGAGAGACCCCAGGAAGCGTCCATGAGGACTCCGTCCGACCCAAAACCCAAGCACGGTGGCGGGATGGGCCGACGGCTATTTGATAGCTGGCATACGCGCCGCGTCACGACTTTCGATGCTGCGCACCTCTTCGAAAAACTCCCAGGGAGCGGCCGGTGATGCGCCGCCGGCGTCCACGATCTGGCCGCTCCCGCCCTGCGGGTTGGGCCGTGCGAGACCACTCTGACAAAGTGCCTGGTAGGATTCGCCTGGGTCTGGCAGAGCCCCCAGACGGCCCCCAAAAGGGTCCATGAAGGCCCCACGTCGCCGACAGACCGCCCCAAGACGCCCAAGATGACCTTGAGACGGTCCACGATGCTCCCAAGACGCCCCAAGAGGGCTTCAAGAGGCCTTCCAAGAAGGCCCCGAGAGGCAAAATTCGTCCCATTCCTATGGGAAAACCTTCACTTTTAGCATGTGCGACTTTTGGGATTCTGAGCGTACACGACGAGCCCACAAGCCCCCAAGATCGCCCCAAGATCGCCCCAGAGACCCCGAAGAGGGCTCCAAGACATGCCAAGACGGCCCCAAGACGGCCCAAGACGCGCCGAAGACGGCCCATGACTGGCCCCAAGAGGGCCCTAGAGCCAGAACTCGAAATTACATTCCCAGCTTTCTGCCCAAACGGAACCTCCCAGACCGCCAGCAGGCCTCCAAGAAGCCCCCAAGAGGCCCAAGAGAGGCCCCAAGAGGACCCAAAACGGCGCCCAAAAGCCCCCAAAGAAACTTCAAAACTGCCTCCAAGAGACTACCGACCAGATGCGTCAAACTCGCAGAAAGCGGCCGGTAATGCGCCGCCGGCGTTCTCGATAGCCTACTAGCCAGCGATCTGGATTGCCCAAAAGCATTTTCCGATGCCGATGGCAAAATTGGAGATCCCCTCGCAACAAATTGGCGGGCCTTTGCACCGCAGAATCACACGAAGCATCGATACCGTGGCGATAACAATTTCGGAGTTCGAATCACATTCGCCACTAAGATCCAAGCGCCAAAAGCACCACCCCCAGTTAGCTGAATATCATTACGTTTTGCCCGGTGCTCTCAGGAACGGTGTGGTGTTCAAAGGCTCAAGAAGCCGCGCACTGACTACTCATAACTACTTGCGCCACTTCCGAAATTTATTGCTAGCTCTGCCAAATCGTTCTCTACCTTCCTGCGAATCCTGCCCGTCCCCAGCCACCCCAAAACATCCTCTAAAAAACGACGAAAACGACGGCGCAGATCGCAACGCCACTTGCCTCGAGCCCCCCCCCTGGTAACACCCGGCGTCGCCAGATGCTAAGAGAGCAAACCTCCGGAGCGGAGGCGTTCGGAAAGGGGCGGGGCCCAGGCCTCCCACACGGGGCCGAGCAGGCGAGGTCGGAGGATCGATCGCGCCACGTCACCGGTGCATCAGCAATGCGACTCGATGTGGAGCCCGAGTGGTTCCACGCCGACGTCACCGATGCAGCAGCCCCCCCCCTGGTAACGCCCGGCGTCGCCCGATGCTAAGAGACCAGAACCTCCAGGCTCCCAGAGATCTCCAGGGGGAGGATGGGGCGCTCCGACGGCGCCCGGAGGAGAGGAGCAGAGGGGCCGGAGAACGAGGACGAGGAGTCAAACCAGGATGCATCAAGGATGCTGCAGCGCACCCTCCCGTCCAGCGTTTCCCCTCCTCACGGGTCCCTGCAGGCTCTCCTCTCCACTGCAAGAAACGCCCCCTTATTGGAAGACCAGCGCCCTCTGGGCATGCCAGTGCCATTCAGGCGAGAGCCCCTTTTGAAGAGGAACTGCCCCGCACCCTTCTAGCGAGCATTGAGGAATGCAAGAATGTAGAATCAGTCAGTTCAACGAGGTGTTCATCGAGATCCCCATTTTGAAAAAAGAACGCCCCCCCCAATCTGTACAAATGCTGCACAGGCTTACACGTATGGTCATGACCTTCGCGGGAATATCTAGCGAGAGACCCGTTTGGAAAAGGAACCGCCCTCCGCCCATGCAGCTGTTCAAGCTCTTGATCTTCGAACGCAAGAGAAGTCTCAAAAGAGAGCGGCACTTTGAAAAGAAGCGTTTAAGACGAATGAGCGAGACACAGAGGCGAGAGCCCAACTTTGAAAATGAGCCGCCCTCCCTCCGTGTAACTACGTAAACGTTCAAATCGAGTTATGCGCGGCGCTGATATTCTTCCGTCCGAGTAGCTGCTGCAAACTTGTACGACGAATGCGCGTGGGCACGTGCAAGAGCACGCACCAGGGCTGAAGATGCACCCAGCAGGATGGATGCTGACAGCGCCGGGACCGCGCCCAAGATCAGACACACTCGACGCAGCAGGCCAGGCAGCTGCTCACCCCACCCCCCACCCCCGCTCAACGGCCACGCCAACAAGCAGCACCAGGTGGGCCCCCCCAACGCCGTGCCAACACTGGGATTGGATCGCCAGCCGAGAGCGACGAGGTGACGACACTCCAGCGCGCGGCCCTCAACACCATGCAGATGTCGAGGCACTTGGCGGGTTCGGTGTGGGACTTCTACCTGATCCCCCAGAACGCGGCGACGGACCAGGGCACGGAGATGGGGACGGCCTACGCGGAGAAGGTGAAAGCAGGCGAGAAGGACTTGGGCAGCCCACCTATACATATCACGGTCGCCTTCTTAGAGGGCCTGGCACAGTTGGAATTGCCGAGCCCATCGAAAGAGATCCTCGGCACTTTCGCTATGTTGGTGAACAAGATGTCACGCCTGCACGTGGAAGACCTCATCCCGTACTTTCGTCTCAAGCAAGCGTACAGCGAGAAGGACCAGCCGAAGAAGTACAAGCTGCAGGTCATGTACAACGCGCTCGCAGCCAGCCCGTTTCAGGATGACCACCGCATCGGCGAGATCAACAAAGCGAGGGGGCAGAACGCGGAGGGCTCGCAGGAGCAGCTGAAGATGCCGCCGATCACGGTCCAGCAGTTTCGACTGGGCGTCCACAGGGCACTGCTTCACTTGGGAGGCAAGCCCGTGCAGGGATCGGCTCCACCGGGCGCGCTGGAGCGCGCGCTCCAGAACCAGCCTCGCGCGCGCCAGATGTGAGATATGCAGCAGGTGACGTGCAAGGGTTACGCCGACAAGCCAGGCAGGGCAGCACACGTGCGAGAGAGATGCTGAATCGCATGGGACTGTGAAGGACAGACGTATCACGATATTATCGGAGATTGCAGTTGCAGCCATCCTATCTCGCCATCTTATCTTTCCTACGACGGCGTCGACGTTCTGTTGGGACAATCTAATAAAGAGCTGGCTATACCAACTGAGGCTGTCTCAACCTATCCGAGGTGAGACAACGCCGTAGCCGCATCGTCGCCACCCCCCGTTTTTGCTGGACTTCGAGTTTTTGGCTCTTGGGCTACAGGGACTTTGTGTTTTGGCCGAGGCCTAACCGCCGAGGCCCTTCTGCCTGGTGTCGGTTCTCCTGGGCCCACGGGGAACCTTCGACGCCTTGCTCAGCCGAATTCCTGGCGGACTGGCTGGCTAGCCACCCGCTATCTTGTGTCCAGTACGCGTTCCTCCTCGCTTCATGGACTTCAACAGCTCGGATTCCTGCTCTCCCGGGACACGTGAGCGCGGCTTCAGAGTGCAGCACTTTGTAGCATAACGCCCCGTGTCTTGAACATGCAAGCTGTACACTCATACACGCGTATAGCACAGTGAGCACGCGATGCGCGCAACATTATATAACGTGTGCCCTTCGCGTCCACTGGGCACGCTACTACATACAGTTGCAGGTTGGGAGGGTTGAGCCCGAGTGTTTCGCCCTCTCGTTTTGCTAAATTTGGAGGTTTGAGCCGGCCTAGGGCCGACGAGGGGCCCAAGGCTTTATAGGCCCCCACGGGCTCCCTCAGGCGCCCTACGGCCTCGCCCAACGACTGAATCAGCAGCAATTCTGGACGCTGATGGGCGCCCAATTCTCGCAGGCTCGGGCCCACGCGCGTCGAAGCCGAACTGCTGCCGAGGTCGCTCGCTCGCTCGCTCCTCCTCCTCCTCCTCCTCCTCCTCCCCCCCTCCTCCTCTCCTCCTCGTCCTCGCCCTCGTCCTCCGAGACGGAGCGACGCCCGTGGAGGAGTGCCGGGACGAGGGCGCGGGGGACAGGCGCCCGAAAGAGTGGAAACGGGGAAGGGTGAGCAGCAGAAGCCAGAGCAGGGGTCGTGAGAAAACACCATGTACCAAGGGCTCCCAACTTCGCGCTTCGCGCTGCGCGAAGCGCGAAGTGCGAATAACTTCGCGCTCTCGCGCCGCCTCCCAGCGGAGAAGAGGAGGAGGAGGAGGAGGAATCGGAGCCGAACCGCGAAGCGCGAAGCGCGAATAACTTCGCGCCCTTGAGGGCGCCCTTGCGCACGGGGCGAAGAGGGCAGTGGGGCCAAGCAGCTCAGACCGTCCCATCCCCTGGCACCGCTGCTCTGCTCAAGCCGCTTAGAGCTCCTACACCTGAAGCGCACCTGTGCACGCTCCCCTTGCCGGTCACAGACCGCTCAACATCGATGGCTTGGTGTGGAAAGCCTTCCCCTCGCTGCCTCATTCCTTCTCCCTCAATCCCTCCATCCTGCAGCATATCCCTCCCAAAACCCTCCTAGATGTACGGCGATGTTCGAGATGAGAGCCACATCACGCCTGGGAGCAACAAATCTTAGGGCCTGTCAGCGAACGCGTGCGGCCGACAATGACGGTATAGTGCAGAGACAAAGCGAGAGCAATAGACAGTGAAAGTAAGAGGGGTAGGCGCGTCATACATTTTAATACATATAAGTAGATATAGAGAGAATGTGTGAGAGACAGAGACAGAAAGAAGTACGAAACAAAACTGGATATTGTGCAAAGCGACACGTACCACAGCTGCCACCCTACACCCGCTGCTCCCCCACATAATCCGCCGACCCCTTGTGGGTCTCTAGGCGTGTGAGATAGTTCCCCCCCCCCCCACATTCCCCCCCCAGGGATCCCAAACCGGAGATTCGACCCCCCCCCTCGCCGACGACGAGCGACTCACGGGGCTCTTCTGGGCCCAGAAGGGGCTCAAGACAGGCCAAGAAGGCCCCAAGACGCCTCCAACACGGCCCACGAGGGCCCCGACACGCCAAACGAAAATTCCAAGACGCCCACGATGGCCCAAAGACGAGCCAAGAGGCCTCCAAGACGGCCCAAGAGGCCTCCAAGAGCAGTCCTCAGAATGGATTCAAAGCCGAAAAACGTCAAATTCCTATGGGAAACGTACATTTTGATCATATACGACTTGTCCGCCGTGACGGCGTTCCAGACGGTCCAAAAACACCCCATGACCGTCCCAAGGCGGCCCAAGAGGCCACCAAGAGGCGCCCAAGTTGGCCCAAGAGGGCGCCAAGACAGCCCAAGAGGCCCCCAACACGGCCCAAGAAAGCTCCAAGACGGCTCCAAGAGGGGGCCCAGAAGGGGGAGCCCGAACCGATAATCCGAGCCTTCCGCCCCAAGACGGCCCTAGAAGGCCCCAAGAGGCCCCAAAAGGCTCCCAGGACGCCCCCAAAAGGCCCCAGGAGGCCCCCACGACGCCCCAAAACGGCCCCAAAACGGCCGTCAAGAGGCTTCGAAACTGCCTCCAAGAGTCCCGCGAGAAGCCCCGCAAGAGATCCCAGCGATCACTGCACAAGCGGGATTCGCGCTCCCGAAGGCAAGAACCCATAATCCATGACCCAGATCATTTCCTCCTCCTCCCCCCCCACCGCCCTCCTCACCCGCCTTTTTCCACCTCGGCCTCTCAGTGTCTTCAAAACTGTTCCCACAAGCCCCCGAAAGGCGTGCCGCGAAATACCGATACACATACAAGAACCGCCCACCCATAGACCACAACCAAAAGCCTCATTTCATTGTCCCTCTCCTTTTCCTCCTCCACCCTCTCCTCGTCCCCCTCCCCCTCGTCCCCCTCCTCTTGTTCCTGGCCCGCTTCACCTCGTCGTATTCGATGATTATCCCCCGTATCCTCCGCATCATCCCCCAATCTTCTGTCCCCGTTCTCCTTCTCCCTCCAGCGCCCGATTCGGCATCATTTGCAGGTCTTGCACTCCAGGGTGTTTTTGTTTGCGTCGCGCGAGACATTGCGCGGGTCGGGGAACGCCGACTTCGGCAGTCTTTTCTTGCACGCACGGCTGCACTGATACGCCTGCCTTCCCCCGTATCCTCCGCCTCATCCCCCAATCTCCTGTCCCCATTCCCCTTCTCCCTCCAGTGCCCGATTCGGCATCATTTGCAGGTATTGCACTTCAGGGCGTGTTTTTGTTTGCGTCGCGCGGGACATTGCGCGGGTCGGGGAACGCCGACTTCGGCAGTCTTCTCTTGCACGCGCCGCTGCACTGATACGCCTGCCAGCTGCGGGCTGTGAACCCGAGTTCCTTGCAGCCTCCGCACGCCACTTTCGATCCTTTCGGCGCTCGATGATTTTTCTCTTGCTCATGCTTCAAATGTCTCGTGTCCGAGAACGCTTCTCCGCACGCCGCGCACGTCAGCGGCTTCGCCTCCGCCTTGGCTTTTCGTTTTAGATTCCCTGCCTCGCAACTCGTCTGCAAAACCGCCTTCTCCCGTTCTTCCGCGCACTTCCGACGCAATCTCTGGCCCGCTGCATTGTGCTTCTTCTGGGCTTCCGACATATCCACCTTTTCGTCATACAGCGAGAGGCACGCCCCGTTCGTACATCGCACTGTTCCGACGCTCTCCTTCCACTTCGCATTGCCTTTCCGCGAATTCTGCTGGGCTTTGACATGGCTGCACTTCCCGCAATACATTGTCCTAATCCTTTTCGTCTCCCCGTCGTCCGCCGCTGAAACCGAGTTCCGACCACTACCGCGCCGTGCCGCGTCGTCACCCTCTGCTCTCGTCGCCCACCCTCCGCACGTTGTGCGCCATTTCTCGTCTGCGTTGTTCACTTCCTCCGTGCACTCTTTGCAGAACGCCGGCCTGTCCTTTCTCTGGAATTCGCACTTCGTGAACGCCTCTACCAACAACCTCCGCCGGCAGCGTTCGCACTGGCCCCGTGGCATTAGCACCGCCTCCCACTCATCCCAATTCACATTTCCCCCGCGAAGCACCTGCAACAATTTCTGCGCGCCGGGCATTTACCCCGCGTTGTACGGCTTCCTGTCGAAAAGCCCGAAAATCAACAAGTTCTCCCGCTTCCGCACGCGCGCGACGGCAACGTGACTCGACATCCAACTTACGCCGCGCCCTCTTTCGAGGTCCGCTATCACTGCGGCCATGGCCCGGCCCTGCGCAGAGTGCGCAGTTACTGCCAAAGCCGGAGTGACCATGAACTGCGTGCGTCTCACACATAATACTGGATGCTTCCGATATCCGCCCAAGAACCACTGCCGCCCTTTCGATGGAAGGATCGGATACAGCCCCGGCCCCCACCCTGGCAGGTGCCACTCTTTCGTATTGAAGTCCAACACAATGACTCTCGGCAGATGCATCAATACTTCCTCTTCTTCATCACCCACGACCTCATCCTCGTGCAACACCCACCCATGCATCGTCGCTGTGCGACCCCGCAGAAGCTGCTTCTTTGACCGATCCAAGTGATCACCCAGAGCCACGGGCATGCCCTTGGCTAACGGCAGCCAGCCCGGCAAGCTCGCGCACTCCTTCTCGTGGTACCCCAGCCAACGTATCTTATCCTCCACCGTGCACGGCCGCCTCTGTCCCCCCCGCGGCAACGGCGGCCCCTGGCTGCGACCCACAGCAGCTGTTCTCCTCGCCCCTTCGCCCACTGCACAGCTCTGTGCTTCCCGACGCGGCAACGAATGTCCTGATTCGCATAAATGGCGACAGCTTCCAGGAACTTCCCCCCCCGAAACCGCGCGTCTTCCGGCGACGTGGCAACGAGCTTTCTCTTCTCCCGCTCAGCTTTGCAAGCGTCACATTCGAGCTCGTTTTGCTTCGCAATTGCCTCTATGTCTTCGAGACAGCAGGCGTTCCCGCACAACGGAGAACCGTTCACCCACGACCCCGGAACATCCGTCGGTTTGCCATGCAAAAAATTGCGCGTGCGTTCGGACCAGGCCCCTCGGCGGAACTCGCCCTGCACTGCGAGAAACCAGTCGTCTTGATCCTCCACGCGCTTGCATTGCGTCAACTCTGTCATTCCTTGCACTGCTCCTTCGCCTCCAGCACCCCAGAAAATGCACTGACCGTGGTTATCCGCGGCACCCGGCTGCCGTCCCTGACGGCGGCTCCAATTGATAGAACTCACCGCAGAACAGCACATGCACGCCCCCGAAGGGCCTGGCAATGCCGTCTCCGCCTACCTTCGTCTCACTTGCAGCTGATGTGCACGGCCGAAAATGCGAGTCCAGCTCTGCAACAAAGTTCGCGCTGACCATGCTGATTTCGTCCAAAGCCAGCCACTTCCACTGTGACATACGCTGCGCCGCTCGCTCTTTCTTCGATTTCTTCCTCGTTTCTGCGATGGCATCGCCCGCCGCGCCCTTCTTCTCTTTCGCATTGTTCACACCGAGTCCAAATGCACTGTGAATCGCATTCCCGTCCAGAGCTGACGCGTTTGTAGCCTGCAACGCTGCTACCTGGAAATCTACGCCGCGCGCCCACCCCAGCTCCTGTTCGAAAAGCCCCTTCCGCATCTTATCCATGGCGAAACTTTTTCCGGCCCCCGGGCCACCATGCAACATCCACACGAGAGGCTGCATATCAGAACGGCTCTGGCCAGTTTTCTTGCCGCTCGCGGAAATCCCGAAGTCTTGCGCCAACACGCGGTCTGCCACCTTCTCCACGATGCTACGCTGTCCCGCGTTTAACCCGCTGTCCGCAAGGCCATGTCTCCATTTCCGCACACTCGACGCAGTGGCTTCTTTGCCGCCAGCACTTCTGGGGCGCCTTCCTCTCCAACAGCGCCGCTGCCTTCTGCGGCCCTCGACGCCGCGGCCACCGCTTGCGCTTTCTGCACGACCGCGCCATCCCACCTCAACACACCGCCCCCTCCGCGCTTCCTGCGCTTTCCACTCTTTCGACTCGGTCTCTCGCCCCGCACGGCGTCGCCCCTGGCCGTGGCCCCCCGGCTCCTGGTTTTCGCACTCCGCGTCTACATGTGTCCGTCGGTCCTCCGCCCCCATGGACGCGCCCCCCACGCGCGTCTTACGCCTGGTCGCCGCGTCGACAATTCGCGGATCCAGTTCTTCATCGCTGTACAGCTCGTCCTCGTGCTTCACTAGATCTTCGTCCGTGACTGGTCGCAAATCCACCACGCCCATGTAGTTCTGCACGTACCTCTTCGTTTCTTCACACGGCACCCCTTTCCTGAGCCACTCCAAAGACGCCTCCGCCCACGACCCCTGCGCTCCGCGGAACTCCCGCAGATGCGGCACTCCACAGTCGACATCGTCACGAAGTGCGAAGGCCCGGAAGTACACCATCAGCAAGAACGCGCCCCCACCCCCCTGCCCCGCTCCGCGTTTCGGCCGCGGCGCCCCATGAAACCTAAGGTTTCTGGGGCGCTCGTTTCGCGTAAGCACCCACGCGTGCCTCAAAATTTCCAGCTCGGGCAAATCTGGAAACGGGACCCACGAATAACTCCCCCAGGCTCCCTTGATCACATATCCACTCCAGCTCTCAACTGGGGTCCGCCCTGCGCACCGCTGTCGTCAGCATACGCTCTCTG